GTCACGAATTTGTGGAGGTTTATTCCTTTTCACTGCGTCTCAAATGTTTTTAAAGGCAATCTGTGTGAATGGCGCTTCGGCTCTTTGGATCAATGCATGCATAAATACGTGATGCTGTTTTGTTCATAATTGTTTATGCAATTTATGAAATTATATTTGATTTATATGAGTTAATTTAGACGTAATGTACGTTTTTGTATAGACAGTTATTTCCTTGCGTTGACAATTTAATGTGCTGCATTATTTTGCTCATTGCGCCCTCCTGTGGACTCGGGAAACAAGCCAAAAGTTTAACCTATTCTGTCTGCATGTAAAACATTAGAAATTAGATATTTGTTTAATTTTTATTGTGTGTTTGACTGTTAAAACAAAAAAATATTTGTTGTTTGTCTCAATAAATTGAGTTAATTTAAAAATACAGTGGTTAATTGTAAAAAAAAAAAGTTCTATTTCTCTTTGTTTTAAAAAAGGTTATAAAAAATGTCAATAATTATGATACCGAACGTTATGAAACATTATATCGTTGATAAATTTTTTAGCTGTATCGCCCAGCCCTGCTTATTATTCATTCAATACTGAAAAATACTAATAAAAAATTCAGTCTAATTAAAATTGGACTGTTTTACAATGTGTATTTTTGTGATTATCAGAGTAGCGCATGCTGTGTTGCATGCTACATTGATAGCTAAAAAAGGATTTAATGAATTTTAAATTTTTATTTTTTATTTAAATTTAATTTTTTTGAAAAATTAATGTTTTTATTCAGGAAGAATGCAGTTAATTGTTCAAAAGTGACAGCGATTTCTGTCTCAAATAAATGCTCTTCTTTCTATTCATGAAAAAGAATCATATTAAATTGTAATAATATTTCACAATATTGCTGTTTTTACTGTGTTTTTGATCAAATACTGTAAATGCAGCCGCCTTTGGTGAGCAGAAGAGACTTCTTTCAAAACATTAAAAAAATCTTACCTACCTGTATCTCGGTATTTTTCAGCCTTTTGACAATATTTAATGTCTTCTATCTCTGAGTGGTTTTCAAGGATCATGTTATTTCTTTTGTTTCGATCAGAGGAAGCATGGTTTTAACCATTAAAGGTCTTCCGTGTGTTTTCAGGGTCTACCGAGAGAAAGTGCGAGACTATCAGTTCAAGCGTCTGAGGTATTACTACGCCGTGGTGGAGTGCGACTCCGTCGAAACAGCAGCAAAGATTTACGAGGAGTGTGACGGCTACGAGTACGAGAGCAGCTGCTCGATGATCGACCTGCGGTGAGTGCCTCACATTCACAGAGACATTCGATTGAAATGTTTTAACTGAAACCATCAAATGTTAACCATCTTAACATTTCTAAGAACTTGGCGCTTGCATATTATTTTAAAGATCGCTGATTTCTCTTAATGTGACATTGGCTCATGTTTGTGGCTCTGGGCGTTTTGCAGGTTCATCCCTGACGACGTGACGTTTGACGGCGAGCCGAAAGACAGAGCCACTGATGTGGATTACAGTTCCTACAAGCCCAAACTCTTCACATCGACGGCCACCACCACAGCCAAGGTCTGTCACGCTGCATCCTACATCAAGTCTGAGCTGTTGCACTCCATCTACAATAATGCATGACTTGGATCTGCTGCTTGTCTTTAGGTCGAGCTGACGTGGGATGAAACGGATCACGACCGGGTCACGGCTCTCTGCAGGAAGTTCAATAAGGACGACCTGTTGGACATGGACTTCAAGGCTTACCTGGCCTCCTCCAGTGAGGAAGAGGAGGATGAGGAAGAGGCAGAGCAACAGACAGAAGGTTAGTGATGACTGAATCATCTATCAACGTTATTCTGAACCGGTAATGGTACTTTTTCATCCATCAGAAATGTTGTTGTGTTGAATTGAATGTTCTCTCAGCTGAGCCTCTTCCGGAGGAGAAAAAGAGCAGTAAAGAGAAGAAGAGCACAGAGCAGATCGCTAAATACAGAGAACTACTGAAGAGCTTTCAGGACAAAGACAAGGAGAAGGATGACAGCATGGATATGGAAGTCACATGGGTACCAGGTATCAGAGTGTTCAGTTTAGTTATATTTCATAGATTATTCATTCTAAACATTTGAATATAAATATTAATATTATTAATTAATATTAATTTTGTTTTAGTGTTTGTTTTGTTTGTTTTATTTTGTTATTGTTTAATGTTTTTTTTATATTTAAAAGTAACATTGCATATTACTGTTAAGAATATAATAATAATATGCATTTTTATTCTGTAAATATATATATATATATATAAATAATAGTAAATATAAACTATATAATATTAAATAAAATTAGGTACATGTTATGTAATATTAACATGTATTTTTTATTAATGTTTACTCATTTCATTGCTTTTTAGGACTGAAGGAAACGACTGAGAAGCTTGTGAAGAAGAAAATGGAGGGCAAAGATCAGCTGACTCCGTGGGAGCAGTACCTGCAGAAGAGAAAGGAGAAAAAGAAAGAGAAGAGGAAAGGGAAGAAGGTAAATGTGCCACTGAGGAAATAATCATGTCGTTTGTCCTTCATTTCTGTCCTTCTGACTCACATATGCTCTTTTGTCTTGTGCAGGAAGCAGCGGAGGCGGAGCCTGGGATCAGTGATGATGAACTTCCTGCTGATGTTGACCTCAGTGACCCCTTCTTCAAAGAAGAGCTCGGCTCGACAGGTTAGTGACGAGTCTGCACTTTACTCCCCTCATGCTTTATTATATTCAACATCAGAGTTTCTCATATTCCTTCAGGAAGTATTACACCTTTAGTGCTCTAATCTATATCCTCTCTGCAGCATCCCTGAAAAACAAGAAGAAGAACAGGAAGAAGGATGAAGAGAGGACACCAGAAGAACAGGAAGAGCTGGAGAGACGGAGGGTATGTTTCTCTGATGTTCATGAATGTGTGTTTGTGGGTAATGCATCATGGGTAACGGCTGTGTCGTGGCATCTAGGCTGAGATGGAGCTGCTGATGGACGACGAAGAAGACGACAAGCACAAACATTTCAACTACGCCAAGATCGTAGAGCAGCAGAACCTGAGCAAGAAGAAGAGGAAGAAACTCCTGAAGAGCAACACGCCACTAGAGGAGGACGACTTCCAGGTGGACGTTCACGACTCACGCTTCCAGGCCATGTTCACGTCCCATCTCTACAACCTGGACCCGTCCGACCCGGCCTACAAGAAGACCAAAGCAACGCAGAGCATCTTAGAGGAGAAACAGAGACGCAGAGAGGAGCGACAGCACAGCCAGGAGGAGGCGCAGGAGAAGGATGGAGCAGAGGCGCCGTCATCCTCCACTAAAGTCATGGACCCCAGTTTATCACTGCTTGTCAGATCCATCAAGAACAAAACTGAACAGTTTCAAGCTCGCAAGAAACAAAAGACAAAATGATTCTCATAACAAGAGACTCGAGTCTCAACTCGAGTTGGTTTTCTGGAGTCTTTGTGTGTTACTTTAGTGACTGATTTGTGCTTGGAGACAAAATGTTTTGATAATAAACATCATACTTTCTCCCAGTTCAAAATTTTTGCTTCAGACTTTTGTAATTGACCGGCCATTTTTGGATGAACACGTCAAGGCTTTGTTTACACCGCACACAAAATCTCATGATCTGCTGCTTCAGACCGGTGTGTCTAGATCGGTCTGACATAGCTAATTTGTGTAGATTCAGCGAGTTTTCAAAATTGATAGAGGAGGTGGGTTTGCAAGGAGTCACTCGCAATGAAATGAGAACCATATGTTTTGAGTCATCCAAAAAAATAAAATAATTTAAATGTTTGAAATCAAAGAAATTAAGTAATTCATCAATAATTGCTATTGTAATTTTAGTGTTGTTCTGTAAAAAATGATTAAATACTATTTCTTTATTTTACAGCAAAGTAGTATTATTACTATAGTAGTTTTTTTTATTATTTAATATTTCATTTAATTTTTGTAATTTAACACAATAAACATTCTATTATTTCATCATCATCACTATTATTAATACCTAGTAGTAAGTTATTTTTTAAAAACAAAAACTAAAAATGTAGAAATAAAAACGAAGGTTTTTAATTATTAGATGCTGCAATTCAAAGAAATTCTTAGTCTAAAGTGTAACTATTTTATTATTTTTTTCAATTTGCGGATTTAATTGAGTCCATACTTAGATTCTATTTAGAACTTTTAGAATACACAACATACACATGAATATGTACAATTTTGCTCGATGTGAAGAAGAAATGGTCTCAACTTCTACATACAAAAGTGACAAAGTCACGTTTGTAGGATATATTTTCAAATAGATGTCGCAATTCCCTTTTTCTGCCGTGGCAAAAACCGATTTCTATTGATTTAAAGGGATCGTTGAACCGAAACTGAAAATGCTGTCATCATTTACTAACCCTATCATTCCAAACTTATGAGTTTCATCTGCAGAAAATATATCATTCTTCAAAATCTGTGAGCATTGCCAATTTTCAGTTTTGCCTGAAGTGTCAAATATGCGCCCTCAAGAAGAGATTCGATTGACTGTAGTTTCAGAGTGTCACTTTTAATGAAAAATAGACACCGAGAAGCTGGAGTTAAAGTTAGCTTTATTCATGTTGACACAAACGCCGCTCACACATTCAAACAAGTCTGTTGGCACTTTCACGGGCACCTCATTTTCTACATAACAGAAGAAACAGGCTTCCTCACTCATGCCATATATCAAAATACAGCTGTGAATGAACGAATGAATGAAAACCTCTTACACTTACAATTCCAGTGAATACGACCAATGCTCAGAGCATGTAAAAACATCTCAACTCATGGTCCAGGAATTTAGTGTACATGTAAGAACCGCCTGGGTAGTTCACATCATTAGACCCAATCCAGAAAAGGCACAAATTACAGAGTAATGTCAATAACACAAGGTTTGATTTGACCAAATAAAGCGGAACCCCAGTCCAGATCACAAGCATTTCAGAAGTAAAACCAACTGAATGAAATTACTAGATTGTGCCACAGTGTTACTAAAAAACAGCTACTTTATGAGAAATAGTGCAATTAAGGTTTGACATGGACATACACATGTAAGAGCTGGACTGTTGTGTAGTGTTTACATCTATTTTATCACCACAGTATCATTTGTACAATTCCTGAAGCAAATGCAAATGGTGCTTGGCCTCGCCGCCATGCTGTTACAGATGATTGACAGGCCGTTGCTATGGTGATTGCTGGGCGATTTCTTACTGGCCTTAGTAAACAATCCCACTGTCTATGATATTGTGGTCCCTCCTTTAGTGACTGTGATTTTTTTTTCTCCCCATTTTATCGTCTGATTGTTGGAAAAGTGACAGATTAGAACACCTTGAGTTGTCCACCGTAGTTTTAAACTTTGTTTTTTGATCAATTTTATGACAATATATTCACCCTCAGGCCATCCAAGACGTAGATGAGTTTTTCTTCATCAGAACATATTTGGAGAAATGTAGCATTACATCACTTGTTCACCAATGCATCCTCTGCAGTGAATGGGTGCCAGAGTCCAAACAGCTGATCAAAACATCACAGTAATCCACAAGTTCAAAGAAAAAGAAAAAAATCCATCATCAAGGTATTTTTTTTTTTAATACAAACTGTTGTTTCTAGCATAAATATGTGTCCTCTATATAATATCGCTTTCTTCAGTGGAAAAAGTTGTCTTGTCTGAATCAGGAGAGAAATATGCACAGATCAAGCACCGTTTACAAGCAAAAACAGTCCATGGCTGCATTTCCCAAAAGCATTGTAAGCCTAAGTTGATCGTATCTCCATGAGGCTTACGATGCTTTTGGGAAACGCAGCCCTGAACAGTTCTAAACAAATATGTGGTTGGATGATGTGAGAGGACAACAGGGGATGGCCATTTTTACTGAAGTAAGCGTTATGGATTTATTTTTGTCCAGAAGTGACGGTTTAAAGTTAAAACGCCATGATGGATTTGTTTCTCACAAACATGCAGTTTTTTGATTCACAAAATGTTAATGGCTGGACTGGAGTCGTGTGGATTACTGTGATGTTTTTATCAGCTGTTTGGACTCATTCTGACGGCACCCATTCACTGCAGAGGATCCATTGGTGAGCAAGTGATGTAATGATACATTTCTCCAAATCTGTTCTGATGAAGAAACAAACTCATCTACATCTTGGATGGCCTGAGGCTGAGTACATTTTCAGCTAATTTTCATTTTTAGGTCAACTATTCCTTAAAAAAAAATCCATGTTGCAGTTTGAGTAATAATAGTAATAGTGATATTATCTTAACCAGCAGTTCTCTCTCCTCATCTTTTCTCTCAAAGTCTTTGTAAAACCCCTCTTAACTTCATGCCGCTTACATACAATGTTGTGTTGCACCAAAATGTTATAAAATATAGGATTACATGAATATTAAGTAGAGAAAATACGTTTATAGCGAAACGCTTCAGGACAAATTGTGCGTCACGTTTGAGTAAAAAAATTCTACAAACACTTTAGAGCTCAGTAAAATACGGTTTCATTACGATACGACACGCAAGGCGATACAAATATGATTCTGTAGAATAAATCAAGTGTGTGACTTAAATTAGATTTCAAGATATTAAATCATCTTCCTCACAAGAAACACAACATGTCTGCTGTTAGTCAGAGTAAACATCACGGAATGATTATTTAGCTTAAGTTGAGACCGTTACCGTTTTACCAACGCTCTAAAAACTCACTTCACGAGGATTTACGTGATGCACATGTTATTTGTGTTGAAACGTTTAAGATTTACTTTATTTTTAGCGGACATGTTCTTATTAGTGTCTTTCAATAATGCTTTGAGAGAAAGATTTATCCAGCTAAATAAATGGATCATAATCTCTTCTCTTAACGAAATGCGTCACATAAAAATGAAAATGAGATCATTTACTCAACCTCATGTCATCTGGTTCACTTGTGCACCATTTTACAAGTGATCTTAAATCATATGACAGCTTTTATGTGAGGAAATTGGTCATTATTGATTAAAAATCATTCACTCGTTTAACTGGAAATGAGACTTGAGAGCTTGAGAGCCTCAACTAATCAAAAAAAAAAAAACCTGTTCAAAAGTTTGGGGTTGGTAAATTGATTTGCTCAAATACAGTAAAAACAGTAATATTGTGAAATATTATTACAATTTAAAGTAACTGTTTTCGATTTGAAAATATTTGAAGATGTAATGCATTCCTGTGAAGCAAAGCTGAATTTTCAGTATCATTCCTCCAGTCTTCAGTGTCACATGCTCCTTCAGAAATCAGTCTTAATTGCTGATTCACTGCTCAGGAAGCATTTCTTATTATTACGAATGTTGAAAACAGCTGTGCTGCTGCTTATTAATAATTACTGCTTATTAAACAGATTTTTTTCAGGATTCTTTGATGATTAGAAGGTTCAAAAGAACAGCATTTATTTGATATAGAAACCTTTCGTAACATTATATGTCATTACTGTAACTTGTAATTCATTTAATGGCTCCTTGTTGATTAAAAGTATTAATTTATTACTTAAAAATACAGTAGTCAACATTTGAAGTGGATCAAAAAAGTTCATCAAAGTTGTCTTAATACAAGAACGCATTTTGGTTTTAGGACAACTTTGGCGAAAGGTTTTGATCCACTTCAAATGTTGACTACTGTAGTACTGACCCCAAACTTTTGTATGGTGTAAATTACAGCTCACAAGTTATATAGACCGCTTTAATATTTCAGAACTCTGACAGCCTCAGTCTCCATTGATCCTGGATTGAAAACAGCAGCATGAAATGCGTTTGGAAGACAACGAGGGTGAGTAAATTATAACCAAACTTCATTTTTTTTGGTGCACAAACACTTCTAATATAGTCTATATGGATTGTCAGTAATCTCTAATAATCTTTTTTGCAGCCTGTGTGCAAATTCTGAGCAGCACTTCATTAAGGAACAACAAACATTGGGTTCTAATTAATCAGGGGTGCGTTTCCCTAAAGCATCATTAGCTAACTATGGTCGTTAGTTCCACTGAACTCTATTGGTAACGATGGAACCTGCGACCATAGTTGCTTTTGGGAAACGCACCCCAGAACGGGACGCTCTCTCAAGCATAAAATATGAGTTCGGGGATCTGCCCCCCCTGCACACCCGTCCCGTTGGTGCTGTCCGAAGAGCACTGGAACTGGAAGGTCACCTTCCCACACTGGACCTCTGTCATGCCCTCCTGGCCAAAATAACTCAACTCGTTCCCGTCCAGAACCACGCTGGCCGTGTAGAAGGTGTCGGGTTCAATCTGCACCGGGTACTCAAAGAAGACGGGGAAGGTGTTGCTGGAGCCGTCGGAGAAGTACTTGATGATGGCGACGCCGAGCGTCACGCTGCCTTGGCGCTTCAGCTCGATCTTGGCCTGGTACTCGGCCGAGCCGCAGCTGGAGCCGTACAGCCCGAACCCGGCGATGAAGACGCGCTTGTCCACGGCGAACTGGATGCTGTCGCAGCGGCCGCGGTATCGCCACTGATTGCTGCGGTAGGCGCAGGACTGAAAGCGGTGGCACCTCTGCGGCGTCAACCCTTTGCGTGGTTTGCAGACGAACTTGAGCTCCGGTTTCTTGGCCGCTGTGTACCACAGGAAGATATCGTTGGTTTCGTTGAGCGTCAGCACACCGGACTGCGCCACGCCGTTGGCGAAATCATCGAGCGCCATCGCCGGGATCCGTATCAGGTAGATGTTCTTTCCCAAAACAAGCCGTTTGTTCTCAATGCTGGGCTGGAGTTCCTGTCGGTGACACTCGGCCTCCGCCCAGCTCAACGCCGCCTCCAACACCACCATCTCTTTGGCGTTGAGCGTCTCACGCCGCAGGATGCTCTCCAGAGTCTGAGCGTCGATGTCGCAGAAGCCCTCGGAGCGGAGCGCGAGCTCGGCCTGCGCGTCGATCACCTCCCAGCAGCGCTGCGTGAGGTCGGGCTCCTCGAACAGGCAGCTCTGAGAGAGCAGGACACAGGCGTTTCGCGCGCTCAGGCTGGTCTCCAGGAAGTTGACGCAAGCGCGGGCCAAGTGGGGAACGATGTATTTTTTGGCGGCGTACAGCGTGGCGAGAACGGTGTCTGCACACAGGTCGATCTCATCACAGTAGATATACCTGAAAACAGAGCGCAGACAATTCTGTAACTTCTACGGAATGCTGCAAATGAGAAACAAACCAAATACTAAACATTCACTCAAATTGTTAAGCTGATAACCAGATCATTTGTTATGGGAAAAAAGGATTACATTTATAAATGTATAAATAAATTAATTGAACATGTATTTCCCTATTTTAATAAAACATTTATTAAATTTTTATCCTTAAAGACCCCATAACATAACAATTTGAGATTTTGTAATGCAATAAAATAGAATTTAAATGTATTTAATAATAAAACAAATTTTTTTTAAATTGTTTTAAAAAGAAAATTAAACCTCACTTTATTGTACCTCCCCTTAGATTTTCATCTTTAAACACATCACAACATCATTTTAGTACTGGAAAAATATTAGAACTATAAATGTATAAAAAAAAATAATAATAATAACAATAAATAAATAAATAAATAACTGTATATATACACACAGTATCTCACAGAAGTGAGTACACCCCTCACATTTTTGTAAATATTTTATTATATCTTTTCATGTGACAACACTGAAGAAATGACACTTTGCTATGATGTAAAGTAGTGAGTGTACGGCTTGTATAACAGTGTAAATTTGCTGTCCCCTCAAAATAACTCCGCACACAGCCATTAATGTCTAAACCGCTGGCCACAAAAGTGAGTACACCCCTAAGTCAAAATGTCCAAATTGGGCTCAATTAGCCTATATATATATATGTGTGTGTGTGTGTGTGTAAATAAATAAATAAAATACCATAAAATCTATATAAAGTAAAATAAATAAATGATAATAATATTTATTTTATTAGAAAACAAATCACTAGTGTTCTCAGACTTTTGGACCCCACGTGCTATCTTCATGACCCCATTACATAAAAAATTTGCAAAAATGTTTTGTTTCATTAATAGCTTTGAAAACCGTACTTCAACATGGCCAGGAATGACGCTGGCTCAACATCAGGGATCCGGATCTCATCCTTATCTTCAGCCAGTTCTCCGTAGAACATGGCATGAAATACAGAACTACCCACAGCCAGGACATACTGAAAGAGTGAAAGACAATGAATTCAAAAAGAGATTATAAATATGATTTATAATGACATTATATACATGTATTTATATAAATAAAAAAACCTACTTAAAATTCTCCATTTATTTTCTTAAGTTCTTTAATGTATTGTATTCACTGGATTCAATGTCAGTGTATTGGTAACACGGCTGAAGTGTGGTAATTCTGTACCTTGTGTCCCGGCACTCTCTGGGTTCCTCCAGGAGGTCCCACCACAAAATGAATATCGGCCATCAGCTCGTTGTTGAACATGACTGAGTTTCTGCAGAGGACAAATGAGTGAGACCCTTCACATCCAGTGCCATCAATGCAACATCACGTGCCGTCTAGGTAGGCAGCATAACAGAGCAATGCACAAGAGAAAGAGTGATTCACCTCTCTCTGATAGTGGGATACAAGCCTTGCCAGTTACATCCCTGAATGGTGTTGTTGTTGCGGACGTTCTGCTGCTGGTACTGTTGAACAGCGGTGGGTGTGACAGTGGCCAGTTTTTTGGCAGGAAACAGCTCAGCGGCCATTTTACCAACACATGTCAATTAATCAGGAAAATTTCATGACAGAGGATCTGGCAACCTGGATATTCAGAATGACACAAAAAGCATTTATTATACATAAATTTAATACAAAATGCTTGAAATTACTCTTTTTTTATACATTTACTTCTATCGTTAATAACATGTATTTAGAGTTTATGACATTATCAATCCAAACTGTCATTAGCAACCATTATATCTTTTTGATTTATTTTTAATAGATCTGTTTATCCATGTTACCTTAAACATAACCTACATTAAACTGGCGCTAAACGAAGCAGTTCACATTAAAAAAAAAAAGTTAATTCACATTCATTGCTAGACTCGCATAAACAGTTAACGTTAGCAATCACAGCTAAAGCTGCGATGATCATCCAAATATCACAGAACAGCAAGAATACTGTTAAATAAGTGTTTGAATGATCTAGAATCTAGACTGCATTTAGTAAATGGTTTGATAACTGTCATATCAATGATAACAGATGATGATCTGAATTCAGATGCAAGCAACAGGAAATAAACAAAAGCAGCCATCGGGCTCACAAACCTGCAAAAACCCCAAAACATCAAACTAAAACACCATCACGACATGCCTGCGCTCATTAACTAATAACAGTTCGATGGCAGTAATTACCAGAGGCCGATTAGTGCAGCAGCTTTAGTGATTGAGTGAGGAAAGTTTGCAGCTGGTTTGCACATCAACAACATCCGCCTGACCGACTGCGCATGCGCCGTAAGAACACGTCACAAATAAACACAATTATTATTATTTGTAAGCAAAAAGAGATAGAGAGAGAAGAAAATACGACTTGCCGTTAACAGTAGGTACTACGTACTTTCGATATTTTATTTGAGTTGTGTTAATATTTAGATACAAAAACGGATGTTAAGGGCAACCGTAGTAGATAACTTTTAATACAGCCGTGTCTTGATATGATAAGATGTTTCTCACAAACTACAAATATTTGCTGAAAGACAAATCGCTACCAAATTATTTGTTAAAAGCCAATCATATATTTAATATTTCAAACATATATTTTATTGATACTAATATGGCCAGCAGGTGGCACTAAATGCAAGGTTTTAGAGTAGCTAAACGATAACCTTTTTTAAATCGTTGTAATGTCGTCTTTTCTAAGCCAAATTGACGTATGCTTTTTGTATTATTTATTAATTAATTTATTTGTTTGTTTTATACATCCTTATATATATATATATATATATATATATATGATTATGTTTCTTTCCTGCACTGTAAAACTCACTTTCAGTTTTGGAAATTGTATTTTTCATTCAGAAAATCAAGCTGCTCTGAAAACTAAATTATAGAATAGTATATTGTACTTTAACCTGTTAACTGTCGGTTCCACTTTTTGAGTATAGGCCTTAAAATGACATTTCCAACTTAAATTGTTATACATTTTGAATGCTTTGGAGCAGAGACTTAAGGTTGGTGAAAAAAAGTTATCAAAATTATATTACAAAAAAGTTATGGAAGTTTAAGTTTATGAAAATATAAAATGTAAAAATGAAAATATTTATATTTTATATAAAATATATATTTTACAAGACATGTTTCACTCTAGAACTGCTAGAAAATCGAAACCAAAATTCTGAAGAAGTTGTGTTCCAAATTTGAGGTTGATATCTCAAAAAATGAACTTTCAGTGAAATTTTGTTTGGGCGTAGTACCAAGCTTTTCCACTAGATGACCATCAAACGCCATTAGTAACCATATGAGGGCGCCTCCATTTCCATATATGGTTTGAGTGATCTGAAACACGTTTTTCCATACTTTTCTCAATATTTATGACGTAGACATCACATTCAGAAGTATTAAGGGTAGTATGGCGGTATTCGATTTCAATTCAACCTATAAAAAACACATAAAAGAAATGCGACAAGAACCCTGGACATACCTTTATAGTTCACGATGCATCAAAAATTGAGAACCTATTGTTTTTTCTTTATATTCGAAACACTTTTAGACCTTTTTTTTCTCAAAAAAATTGAATGAATGTTATCTTTTGAACACTTGACATGAACATGAATGGAGATTTTTCATGATTTTATATATTTATCACTATTTCAAAGTAAAGGTCAGAACTCGCTCTCTGACTCTGATGAGTACTCTTCTTACAAATTAATAAATTACAGTTGCTCTGTAAAATATTTCAAAAATCAGTCACCATATATGAACACTAGAGGCTTTAAGCTTTCAAATGATATATAGTTTGTCAGGATTGCATTAGGTTCATACTAAGATACTACTGTTTAAAACATGTAATGGCAAGTGGGCCCACCGGTGGGCCAGTGACAGTTAACAGGTTAAGTAGAAATTACAGAAATTGTGACTGTATTTGCTCCTCTTCTACAAGGACGAAAGCGTTTTCATCTTTGTAGCAGACTGTTCAGTTTGCCAGCCGTAACAATGGAATTAATGGATAATTATAATACAAGAATGTTTAGCGCAAAACTTACATTGTTTACCTATAAACAGTCTCTCTTGCCGCTGACAAAACATGCATTACAAAAAGATATTGGATTTTTGAGCCTTACACATTTTTAGACGTCTACTATCATCCTAACCATCTTCAGTCTTAAACATCGAGGTCAGTGTGTGAAAGTCACAGACTGCAAAGAATCTCTTTTATTAGTGATAAAATAACAAATATTCAGATGCATCACTGGAATCCCACGGCCAGCAAACCTCTGACTGAACATTGACCCTGGAAAGCAGCTTGACTGGAGCTTAACAGCAAAAGCAGTCACAGGAATGCAACGCTGCCCTTGTTGCACTGATGCAAAGGCTTTACGTAATGATTTACTAATTACACTCTAGAGGCCTCGGCCTTGGGGAATGCTGGGTAACGGGTCTCTCAGTCAGACTCCGACAGGCACCGACCTAATGGAAGGGGTCCATAAACAAGCCACACTTTTATTGTCTGGACATTGATTTGTATCTCTCAGACCAATTCTAGGCCATTTAGAGGTTTTTAAACTAGGAAATGACCATTGTTTGCCCGTCGACAGTAGTTATGGTTAGCTTGAACACAAAATTGTTCTTTTTGATTGTTCGTGTGGAGTCTCATTCTATGTTTACTCTTCTATTCATAGATCCAGTCCGTTTTCTTTGCTTATCCATAAAGTCTGAGATTAAACTACTGTGGTAACGCTTGTGAAATGTCATATTAAAATATGAGTTTAATAAAACATCAGTTTGCTTTTATAGGATGGTCCATTTGGTTATGGCAGACACAAAAACATGCACAACACAAAAAGAAACCAGAATGTGCCCAATTTGTATTTGGACACTTAGCCACACTTGCAAGTGGCTGAATTTCATTGTATTCACGAACAAATGCTGCTAAACCTTTTCTCAAAACGTATTTTCGTTTGTATCTTCGTTTTCAACAGCATATCTACTGTTTTAACATTTAAACTTAAACTTCTTTTTATGAAATGTTCTCATAAATAAATAAATACAATTTCAAAACATACAAAAAAATGGCCAAAAAGTATGTTTATGTTCAAATATGATTCAAAATATATTTGAATATTTTCTACCAATATATATTTAGGCAATTTTTGTATATTTTTGAAAAAAAAATTTTTTTATTTAAATAAATTTTAAAATAAAATTTGCACTCAATTTATTTCAATCCAAGAAAAAAAAGAAAATAAATTTGTTGTCTATAACATTTTAACATAATACATTTGAACAAAAATCTGCAAGGACCATAATTTACAATGTTCCAAAAAATTTAATATTACATTATGTGAAAAAACATGAATAAATTATTAGAAATTTAGTTTTGATCTCTAATAGGCTATTCCATTCTGCATTTAGCCTAATTGTAGGCTATAGTAAGATTTATTATTAGATTTATTATAGTAAGATTTTTTTTATTGCCAATTTATTTTCTTGCCCTGAAAAGCATTTTGAAATTTATTTAGGTAAATGAAGGTCTAAAGCTAAATACATTTTCTATTTCAAAAATATGTGACCCTCTCTGTGAAATCCAGGCTAAAGTCTCAAAATCTATTTAGGAGATAACAAGCATCAAAGATTGATTTCAACCATTAATTTCACTATAATTTCGATCTTTGACATGACCTTACTCAGTCAATATTAAAGATATAAAGGTTACATTTTGTTCAATCACAGATTGTTCTTTACCTTACGAAGGATGATTTTATGTAGAAAACAGTAAATCACACAAAAAAAAAGACTTTAGCTGGGTTTTCACAGAGAGGGTCACATATATTTCATTGAGCTTCACTGTATGGGAAGTGTGGCTGTGCTGTCTTTCTTAAAAATATATGCCACTTGGTTTGGTATTTTGTTATCTTTCAATAATATCCTGACATTTTTATGTGTGGTTTATGTCTCCAATAGCTTTTTGTGGCCACTGTATTTGCAATTTACATTTGAGTAACCACAAATAATGAGCTGGGATTTACAGCATATGCAGTTATATTTACACAACTCATGTGGCGTTGCAGCCGTAACATTATACAGTATCTGCAAATACAGATATTGTATCATTTTAGTTGAATGTGGCTGCTAATGAAATCTCATGTTCTCTTTTTCCTCTGTAGTGACCGGCGGTGATTTATGCCCCAAGTGTATTGTGGGAAATCAGAGTCTCTGAACACAGGGTTGGTAAGACTTTTCCTACTCCACAACGATTTAAGTTTGGCCTTTGTGAGTTTTTTCCTTCTTTTATTAGATTATCTGTCATTTTGCAAAATGCATTTTGTACCAAACGTTTATGATTTTGAGAAATTGCTCTGAGTTATGATCATTTGAGCCCACCAGAGCCCACAGTGTATATATAAGTTTATTTCAACATGCTTTCAACATGAAAATTGATTTCAAAATATATTTCAACATGCTTTCAACATGAAAATTGATTTCAAAATATATTTCAACATGTTCCACTAATATTTAACACTTAAAAATTGTGCTATTTTTTCTTTCTCTCTCTCTCTATACATTGATCAGTATCACCCAGCTCTATTTTCAATGTACTTTTCTTCCTAACAGTCCTGTCATGGTGTCACATTTAGTGTTGTTTTGCTGTGAGTGACGGCACATGCATTCAGCCCCAAACCCCCCAAGATCCTTTTCAAATCCTTGAGCGAGCAGATTGGCCAAAGTCAATTAGAAGTCTATTACAATGAAATGCTGTTTATGGAGATAAAGGATGAATTAGCCATACTAACTCTCTTCATTCATAGCCTCTCTTTTTCTCTTATTCTGTCAAGTGGCATTCATTGAATTGAATAATACGTCTCATGCCTGGGAACCGCAGCGTTTGGACTGAAACACATGGTGTGATAATGGGGGGCTCTGTATTCATAGGCTGGTCAGTTCCTGCCCTTTGTATTGTGCGCAGGCTTTCTCAGGGCTTAGTATGTGTTGTGGAGAAGGAAAGGGTGGTAACAGTGTTTCATGAAGGGTATTGTAGTATTTTTAGTGAGGGCTCTTATTGTTCATTTGGCTGCGAGTGAGAGGAACAGACGGCTGGGCTGCACATCCAGGTGCATTCTGGGATCCGGTGTGTCTTGATCCAACCAGTTCTTTGTCACATCATCCATTGTCATAATTTCAAGCTGTGTGTGTGTCCATCTCATAGACCGTCATTATGAGAGCATGCTACTCTTACACACCTTCGCCAGAGATTCCATCAAAGAAAAGGCAGTTCTGTACCTTAGAAAAAAAGACAAAACAAAAAAGGACAAATTAAACTAAACTAAACAGCAAGTAAAACACAAACAAAAGCAAACAAAACAAAACAAACCTAAACAAAACTAAACTAAACTAATCAAGCTAATCAAGCTGCAAGTAAAAAGACAAAACAAAAGCAAAGAAAAAGCTATCTAAACTAAACTGCAAGTAAAAAGACAAAAAAGCTATCTAAACTAAACTGCAAGTAAAAAGACAAAAAAGCTACCTAAACTAAACTGCAAATAAAAAGACAAAAAGGCTATCTAAACTAAACTAAACTAAACTGCAAATAAAAAGACAAAAAGGCTATCTAAACTAAACTAAACTAAACTGCAAGTAAAAAGACAAAAAAGCTATCTAAACTAAACTAAACTAAACTGCAAGTAAAAAGACAAAGAAGCTATCTAAACTAAACTAAACTAAACTAAACTGCAAGTCAAAAGACAAAAAAGCTATCTAAACTAAACTGCAAGTAAAAAGACAAAAAAGCTACCTAAACTAAACTAAACTGCAAATAAAAAGACAAAAAGGCTATCTAAACTAAACTAAACTAAACTGCAAGTAAAAAGACAAAAAAGCTATCTAAACTAAACTAAACAAAACCAATAAGCAAGTAAAAAGACAAAATAAAACCGAAAAGACAATTCATAGATAGATAGATAGATAGATAGATAGATGTGATTATTCAGCTCTCAGTTCAGTGGTCTTTTAGCCAGATCATGACCAGACCAGCACTAACCAGCATAAACCCGTCTGCAAATGTAGGTCTGGGTCTTTCTTTCTGTCCTCCACTGGTCATTCATTCAGCAATAGGGACCTGTGCTCACCACCAATGAATAGTCAATAAAGAGCCCATCACTTTTCGCTGCATTTGCTTGAAAGAAAAGCATCTCAGAAAGCTCTTCTCCGGCCCAAACGGTCACCCCTGCCATCTGTGCTGCGGTTCTCCGCCCTCCTGTGCGTGATTGAAAGGGATAATGGAGTCTTGAATAAGTTTTGAATACTTAAGAATAGACCGTCCCTTATTATCTCCGCCAGCATCTGCCAGCCGCTCCATTGATGTGCTCCGTGTATTTACTCCACTCAATTAAACCACTATAAACTCCATTAGCAACAACAGAGCCAATCAGAAACGGCCACACAATAGAGATGGATAAGGGCCCTTCTCTCGCTCCTTCAGGTCTCTATTCAAAGGAGCGCTGGAACAGCTGCTGATAATCTGCTTGTGCACTACTCGCCGTGTCTTTCTATTGTCGTGTCAATAGTTTCAAACAGGTGTTGCTTTAATTAATGTAGCATTCATGGGCATCCAGGGGCCCTCGGCCTCATAAGGGCACTCTGACAGTTGAAAGAGCAGCCAAACAGACATGCCATCACTCTCTGGACCAGTATTACAGGCGTTAATGACTTTAAATGGGATTTAAATGAGGCCAGTATGCAAATGTATCCACTGTTTGCACTGGGACTCACTTAAATAAATACACACAAGCATGCTGTTGAATGTTAGCATGTGATATTTTTAGACTCTTGGGCTTTTGCCATTTCTTGATAGGAAAGAAGAGGGATGGCTCAGATGTGTATGCTAGATTCTAGTCTATAGATCAATGAAGTGTTTTTCACTTTCTCCATGTGTATTTCAGAAAATTCTTCAATAAGGGGCCAAACTAACAAGCTCTTAATCACAAATTTAAATTTAGATTGAAGCAAAAAAAAGTGTTTCAAAATTAGAGTGGATTAACTAATCATCATATTATGCGAAATTGTGATACAATATAAAACCATTATTTATAAATTTTGTTTACCACTATGTTACACGTAAATTTGGTCAATGCAGGTATGTGCCTGCATCGACTGCGGTAATTGTTGGGTCCACTAGATGGCTCACAGTTGGGCTGTTGATTTTAAAAATGACTCAAAGAAGAAGATGGAAAAACAACAGAGGAACAACAGAGTGCTGCAGGCGTGATGCATTTTCGTAGGCTAAAACCCGGAAAAAGGTTAGCATTTTAGCACTTCTTGTCAAAGTCAATGGTTTTTTGAAAAGGTTTTGGTTGAAATAAGGTCTGTGGTTAAAGTCAAACTCAAGATATTACATTACATTACATTTAATCATTTAGCAGACGCTTTTATCCAAAGCGACTTACAAATGAGGAGAATGGAAGCAATCAAAATCAACAAAAGAGCAATGATATGCAAGTGCTATCCACCTTTTTCCTACGCCCCATGATGCTTTGCGCGAATTATGGGTGGAACTTCCGTTACGACGTAAACAATCATTCGCTGCAGTCACAGTGTCGCTACTCATTCATTCATAGCAAGATGTGGAATCACACGCTGACAGAACTTATAAAGGACAACATCAACATACCCGTCCCTTCCTTAATAGAGGAATGGGAGGACGATTTAAAAAAGTGGCCGCGCATAACTTGCAGTAGCATTTTTAGCTACTTTGTTGATTCAATTGCTTGTGACGGTAAGGCAATGAGCAATTTGAAAAGCTCAGAGGCTTACCAATACCTTCACAGTAATAAAGTAGGTCGTGTGCTATTCAAAGATGTGGGCAATGATTTCGTGTACTTAAAAGCTGATGTAGAGCCGAGTCAAAGCCTGAATGTGTCACACCATAAAGCTTGGGTTTTAGTGTCTACGTCAGGTGTCATACAGACGGCAGGGTGCTCATGTATCGCAGGTCCAGGGCGCTCATGTAGTCACGCAGCTGCAGTAATGTGGAAGGTCAGTAAATACATGTAAAAAAAAAGATGAGGACTCAAATAACCTGTGTTTAACGACAATGTACTAATATTTAAATGTATCATTTGATACAATGCACTGTGCAAATACGTTTTTACTTACAATGTAAATAAGTTTCATCAGTTTATTTTTTAAGCAACATGAGAATGAAATACATGAAAGAATCCTTTAAATATATTTACTGTCTACATAGTGTACAAAAACAACATGTATTAATAACATATATCTTGTTAATGACATTAAACTATAAGCACATGCCGTTTACGTGATGATAAATGTTTATCTATGTGCTTGAGATAAGCTCCCCTCTTAGATTTACAAGAGCAGCACAAATTCGCAGTATTTTATCAAACTCTGGGACCAAATTAATAGGCAAAGTCTGTGAGAGAATCTTGTACACCTTTAGCCGCCTTATTGCCCGTTCAATGTGAATGCGGGCATGAGCAATGCGTCGCGTGTGGGTGACTTCCTCATTAGTCAGCTGGCACTGTTTGCGTGTAAATGCTGGCATAACTAAATTCACCTTGCGTTCCTCCAATAAGTCCCTGATAGTGAATCCACGGTCTGCCATCACCTCATCTCCGGGCCTCAAGCAGTCCAGAAACCCTGAGTTCTGTACAATGTACCTGTCGCTACATTTGCCACTATAAGCCTCTGAAATAAACATGACTAATCCAGATGGAGAAGTTGCTACCAGATACTTCAGAGTATTACTGGCATAATAGTGACTGTACGATTCACTTCTTGAATCTAGATTTTTAGCCTTCTGTAGAACAGTTTCTGTGCAGTCAATTATACAAGTAGTGTTTGGAAAATGATCTTTAAAAGCCTCTGGCAGAGTGGCCTTGATGGTTTCACGGGGCAACCATGGAATAAGATCCTTGGTATGCTTGTACAAAACATCTATCCAAAGTTTCACAGTTTTGCTGACTTGACCATGTGACTTGCCAAAGCGTTTTGCCAAGTCAGCAATTACAAAGTTCTGTCTGAGTTTCATAAGTGTCATCAGGATTTGGTCTGCAACAGGCATTGCAGATGAAGTAGGGGCAAAACCTTGCAGGCAGGATACAAGAGTGTGGAACTCAAGAAGTGGAATACCTGTGTACAACAAGCAGTCTGCATTGTTTGTCAATGTATAACTTGCAGCTGGCTGTAACTCAGGGGGTGGTGCGAGTGTTAAGCCACATGGGATGGTGGGTCCTTTCGAATAAGTGTGGTCCTCCATCCATGGATCGGACCACTGCGTTTGGGCATCACAGAGGGAAGTAGGATTTTGTTCCACATCCATGGTATCAAGCTCACCTACAGGTAACAGAACAATTGCACACATTTGTGATAAGCTAGCTAGCTAGCCAGCAAGTATAAACGACCCTTTTCTAGTAATCATGTTTTCCAGTCAAACGCTGAAATTTGTGTAACGCTTAGTGAGTAAAGTTACCTGTTGAGAATGAACTGTCATCCCTCCTGAGGAGTCGGCGTCTCTTTTCTGGAGGCTTCTCATAACCGAGGAAAAGAGTAGGGTATGGGTTGTCCTCTGTCGGTTTTTTTTTCCACAAAGTGAAAAGAGCATAAGTAAAGTGTTTTGGGGGGCTTCTTTAAGTTCAGGTTTTTGAGCCAGTTTCGCTTAGCTTCGTCTTCTATAGGAAGGCGATGAAAACTGTACCTTCTCTCGCAAGTGCATTCCGCTCTAACTTTAGGTTTGTGTATATAGCACTGTTCTTTAAGCCACAAATTAAGCTTCGTCTGGTTACAAGTGCATCCACGGACAGCACAGGTTGTTCCAGAGCTTTGTAATGCCATTTTAATATATTCCCGCCTGAAAAACAAACCGCACATAAACAAAACATTTCACCGTCGGCGCAACTCAGTCAACGCTGCTACTACTTCCGGCGGAAGTTATACCCATAATCGTTTTTACAGCAGC